AAGTTCACGAGCATTTATGATAACCCCCACATCTTTGGGTTACAATTGAACTTAGGATTTAGAAACTTTTTCATAGTTCTATTCATTTATTTCTTAGATAATATCCGAATCGAGTGTTTCGTGAAAGTCTAAGTACTTTCAAAATAGTGGTCGGTGACTCACAATTTATTTCAATTAAAGTTGTATATAACGTACTTCAATCCAATTTTTTAATTTGATCATCCAAATTAAATCAAGGCCATCATATGGACCAGTAATGCTTCCCAAGCATAAACCAATTTAATTGGTCTCATGATTGAAGTGAATTTCAACATTGAAGAGGGCTAACATCTTGATTAACAAGAATTGCAACTTCTCCAAACATATGTAACTTATCACATTTGTGACATTTCACAGGATAGTTTCATTTCATGTCAAATAAGAAGGTACATATTCACCTTATTCACCATATTCAAATTTAAAAGAACGAATCAACCATAAGTTGAAAAGTTGTGTTCTCAAGAGACACAACCTTAGAAAAGGACACACCTCTTGAAATAATCTCCATGAAGAGACATACCCATTGGAAAATAATTATATCAAAAGTCATGATTTTTCATATGAAATGACGCACATTTTCATCTAAATTGATCGTAGAATATTTCATAATATTCTACACAATTTTCCACAATTTCAAATAATTAAGTAGCTTAATTCTCATTACTAAATAATGATATCCACTTAAATCATCTCACTTAATTTTATCAAATTAATTGAGGCTATCATCATAGTCAAAGTTAGTATAATTTCAATAAGATATGAAATTTTAATCAAATAATTTACCATGTCATTATCATATTTCAATCAAAGGAATCCTCATGAAAGTTCATATACTTTCATCAAATAATTGGCATAATTATATGTCCAATGGTTAGGAATAATTTTCTTATTTTCATCCATTCATTATTGGACTCGAGTTGATTTTAACAATATCCAATTCATCATGACCAAAGTGAATGAATAACAACTTATATTCCAAACATTTATACATCCATTGTATAATTTATTCCATTTATAGGAATGTTCACTTCCATATCATAAGAGATATTGCAATCTCAAATAGAAGAAAATGGTCACTTATAAGTTCCCAAGATGGACATTGTACAGAAACAATATATTTTTCGAGGCTAGCAGAAAAATTTCACAAACTAAAATGTTCAAAGTATGACAAAATGTCAAGTGTAAATCCATTGGTTCAAATTATAGCAACATATGCATTTAATTATAGTCACACATGACATCTATCTTTCCAAATAATTTCATTAAATATATTACTAGATGCATGCAGAAATCTGCACATGCTTAAAGAAAAATGCATATGCAAAGATGAAGAAAATTCTATAATTACAGTTATCTTCAAACGTCTCCATTTGTATTTTCACATAATATTAGGTTTCCATGCACTAATCAGTTCGGATTTTATTTCCGTTTTATGATACAAATATAGCAGAATTTCAAATTGCAGTTTTTTAACATAACCCAATTTGTTCCCTTAAGTGAGTAGTACGGTTGGCATATTCGAAACCGAATATACAATGCACAATGAACACAAAATTCATCTAAAGATTGTTGGAGAAATTTACATCGATTACGTGCATATTATATTCACAAAAGCATACGGGTTATTTGCGTGAAATCGAAACGTAATTTCGACTTACCGAAATAGGATTTGAGAAGCAAAACATAAAAGTTATCGAATCTGAATGCATGGATATGGATTCATCCCTTTCGATTCTTGAACGAAAGCAAATTATTCTTTTGATCAAACCTTGCAACATAAACATGTAAACAATGTTAATCATTTCCCGAAATCAAAATTAATCAAAAGAAATCAGAAAACTGCAGGAAGAAAGATGCAAGTGATGAATTTTTGGTCGAGGCAAGTGTTTGACACTTGGTCCTTAAGATGAATTTGCCCCGCATCGGTGCTAACGATTTTTCGACAATCATCTCCCAAGATACAACGACCACGTCAAGCCATAAGAGCACTCCAAATGGTTTCGACCAACGACTCGAACGGAATTCCCTCTCTACCATAACAATGATTTTGATGCAAAAGATAATCACTTCTAAAAAGTGTTTTATGTAACTTAACATGAAATGAATAATATGGAATTATGAAATGAATTGAAATTTATTAGAATGACAAATACACGTCCAAGGAGTCCTATATATAGAAGATGAAGGGTTGTGGGTGGAAGGGCACACCCCAAATCTAGCATTTTTCATGGAAAGTTGCGACACTTCATTTCGAAAAGTTGTAATATTTCATTTCAAACCTGCATCCTTTCGAAAAGTTGCAACACTTCATTCTTCCAGCTTTGGACCGCAATTTCTCATTCATCCGGAATTGGTTTCGAAATTTCAAATATACCACGACGATCTACTTGACAAGTAGAATAAGTTGGTCTATTTACTTTTGTAATTTGACCATCGGATCAAGTTTGAACATTCGACCGAAGTTGATACGAAGTCACACCTTTTCATTTTACCAGTTTTAAACTTAACCAATTTTCGATTAATTTTTGAACCAATTCCAACAGTTTCTCATCAATCGAAGCTTGGTGTTGTAGATGGAACCCCAATCTTAAGGGGACACATTAAGGCACAATCATGCCACTTTGGATTAGAGGCAGTCAATAATAGCGATAATGAAAAGGATTCGCCCCCCGGGGCATATCTCAATGGTGCAAATGACAAGGGTAAGGTATACTTAGCTTTGCTGGCAGCCACAGTATAAGGGTTCGATTCCTGAAACATGGATTGAGACTCTGTGTGTGCACCAGTGTACAGACAGCTCTTATTCCCTGACCTACTGGAGCACATCCCTCGATTAACCTCTCTCACGATGCTCCAGGGATAGGGGGTGGGGGATCCTTAAAATTGGGGTTCAAGTTTTCTTTCTTTCTTT